TTTATTTGGTTTACATAAAAAAGTATGTAAGTTTTTACAATAAAAATCATTTAAAAATAAACATACATAATTTATTACTGAGACAGTTGTAATCTCGAGATTCGATAAATTATAAAAAATATATATATAGTCGATGCATATAGAAAAAGAATACTTGTTAAAATTTTTTATATATAAATATGGAATGTTACTAACAGAATAATGGACGGCATAAAATTTAAGTTTGTAATGTTAGTTAACATTGAACAAAATGTTATACTTAATTTATATTCGAAAAAAGGCACTAAATTATTTTCTATTTGTAATAAAAGTAAAAAAGAATTTCTACCTAGAAAATCCCTTTTTTTTACATTGTACTTGCTGCTTATTGTCTTAAAAACCAAGCCACCGCAGTAACTATCAGAGTAGTAAAACCAATGGCTAATTGATTGCCTGTTAGTAGACCAGCACTGTTGCAACCATCTTTACTATTGCAAGTACAATATTCCATGAAAATGTTGTAACTACCAGTGCGCATCAAACAGAAACGTTCATCACCTTCAATGCCGGGTTCACCCATGTAAGCACAGCTGCGGAAATAACGCCACTCGCCATGAGCCTTTTGCCGTATTTTGCGACACATGGTTGGTCTTACACCAGGCAAATGTTCCAATTCAGGTTCTAGACTGCAATCGGTAATGACTAAAGTACTATTGTCGAAGGGATCACCACATTTGGGATCGTTATCGGAACGGCAATCCCAGCATTTAATACACCAGGCTACAATAACAAATTTTAATTCGATATAAACAAACATTAGTTACATTTCTACAATTGTTCAAAAAAAAATGCTGCTGGTTGTACACACCTGTTTGTGCCAAACACAAAGTTATAATTACACTTAGAATAACACTTTCCACAGTTTTCATTTTTCTTGGTATTTTGTTTTATCAAACGCGTTAATTTTTATTAGGGAAAATTAAATAAATTTGAAATAAAATAATTAAAATCAAAATTAAAGCGAAGAATTAATAAATAAAGCGAACGACCCGCCCTAAAAAATAATGTTGATTTGTGATGTTTGTTGTTTTTGTGTTTCTTTCTCTTTTGTGTGCATCACGTCAAGTGTCAAACATTAAACGGTATTATCTACCCGAATGGCGTTTTTACACCGTTTTTGTTAGAGAAAGAGTTGCCAGTGTATTTGAAATCGTAACTTATTTATTTATTCAGAGTTTCAGAACCCTTTTATAATTACAATTTAAAATGTTTCATTATTTTCAAAAATATTCACAAATTAAGAGTATTTATACCCTACACTACTATAGTAGGAAGGGTATTATGCATTTGCGCACTAAAATATTAGTACTATAACCACCTTAACTCAGAATTACTTTCCATGTTGATTTAACGATATCTGTCCGACCGTCCGTGTGTCTATGTAAACGTTGTTATCAAAGTACAGGTCGCAATTTTTAAGATAATTTGATGAAATTTATCATATACGTTTTTTTGGCCCAAGGACGAAGCCTATTGAAAATGGTTAAATCTGTCTATTGTTACACCTAGTTCCCATATAACTGTACCCCCCGAAAATGGCTTTTGAACTCATAATTATGTAAAATATATTTGTACCTCGATAAAAGATGTCACAACAAAGTTTTATACAAACCTCATCTGACTCTAGTCACCTTACATAGACCCCTTCAGAATTCACTTATAAACAATAATATTGCGATGATATTCTGAACAAATAAATATTATATAAATATAATTCTATCTGACAAATTTTATCGGGATCGGTCCATATTTGCTCCTATCCTCCTTCAGAAAATTAGTTTTCCGTCAATAAATTTTGCCTTAATAAATCGGAACCAAGTAATATTCAAGATAAATGATTTATTATGAAAAAATTACATTTAATATTCAAATTTGTTAGGCCACGGCCCGACTATACTTTAAGAATTAAATAAAGGTTGAACCAACCAAAATCGAATAATTTTTAATCGTTTATATTTCCAAAACTAATTGACCAAATAAAAAAATTTTGGATTTGAATAGCCCATAGTCTCCTAATTTTACTCCAATAAACAGATTTTTGATATTTCATGATAGATTATAGCTTTTACTTAGAATAGACATATGCACAAAAATAAGAAATTTGTAAACAATTTTCTAAAAAAGAAAGATATTTATCAAATTTTTTTTCTAAAGATATTTTTTTATCAAACATTTTCTATAAAATAGAAAATTTATAAGAAATTTTCAATAAAAAGGAATATTTATGGAAGTTTTTCCTGTTTCTTTTAAATTTTTCATTTTTTTTTTTCAATTATACATAAATATATCTTCACCTGAAACGCAAACGACCTTAACTAATAAAAAATTCAAAATATATTTTATTGTTGGTTCTAATATATTGCATCGAAACAAATGTTCACAAACCAAATTGGACTCCTCGAAACAAAAGTTCCTATCAACAAAACATATTAAAGGCAAAAAGTCAAATTTGTCCATTTTTATATACGCCTTTGTTAACTACCATAACAAATGATAGGTTTCACTATTAAATAATTTTTGAACTTGAATTGAAGTTTTTTGCTTCTCCTGTAAAATTTTTAAAGTGTTAGATAGGGCCGTTTACGTTTTAGATGACGATATGTAGTAAAAATAAGAAATCCCTTATCTATAAAAATATAACGTCTGTACACTGCCTAACCTTTACCATAAACTCCATTAACGCCTCCCTAAATAATACAACAGTGTAATCACGCCACTTCTATTAACAACACAATAACAACTCTGTAATAAAGCCAAGTTTAATTTGACAGCTCTTGTAATTAAACAAACACAGTGGTTGTGTGAGAAAAACCACAACAACAACTTGACCATAACAAGTGTCTTCATTCATTAAACTGAATTTTTTATTTTCAATTACTGTTTTGTTTTATTTTTTACTATAATATTGAGTTAATAAAAGAAAATGAAAGCTGTAACAATAAATTTAACTTTGTTATTAATTGCAGTAACAATAACAGGTAAGTAAAGGAATTTTTCATTCTGCTTAAAGTTTAAATTGTAAACAAATTTAGGGTGTGGTTTTGAACATTAATTTTGTGGAATTTATATTAAACATAATTTAAGGTACCTGGGCTATACGTTGTTATCAGTGTTCCTCGGATCAAGACCGTAAGGGTTACGATAGCTGTGGAGCCTATAAGAAGTTTAATCGCACCGAACACATACCCATCGAATGCAACAGCGATGAATCGCACATGCCTGGCTCGTTTTGCATGAAGGTGGTGCAACAGGGTCCCAGAGGTTTTATATGTAAGTTGAAGTTGTTTTAATGTTATAAAGGTTTGTGATATTAATTTTTACTTTTTGTTTTAATAGGGGATGGACGCTGGCGTCAGGTTATTAGACGTTGTGCCTCTGTGGCCGATACTGGTGTTACGGGTGTCTGTAACTGGGGAGTCTACGAAAATGGCGTGTATTGGGAGGAATGCTATTGTTCCAGTGACAGCTGCAATGGCTCTACATCTTTGAATGTTTCTAAAACCCTGTGGGCCTTGATTTTACTCTTTGGCGCCTTGGCGTTTTCTAGAATTTTACGGAATTGACAAATGAATTCCATATAGACGTATTATTCAAATCAAGCTCTTATTAGTTTTAACACATACCGTCCATTTTACACAAATTAGTATGTAGTTTTTTAAATTCGTTTTTATATACAACAATTTTATTTTATATTGAAAACAACGAGTAATTAAGAATCTCAAAATAAAGTTGGAAAATACATATCGAATCATGAATATTCTGCTTATGATTTCATATTTTGTAATACAATTAATTTGCTTGTAACTAATTCCTAGAACATGCACCCCGTTTAGCCAATATGTTTAAACCACCATCTTGCCAACCGGCAGAAGGATCATCACATACAGCAGCATAGATAATATTTGTGCCATCTTTAAGACTTTTTAAAGCCATATAAGATTTATTATCCTCCAACCAAGTACGTGATTCTGTTGGACCTTCGATCAACTCCTTATTGCTATACTGTAAACATTAATAAATATGTTAATGCAGTAAAACAACTCGCTAAAATGATTGCTAACCCATTGTTGATATAATTCCAACGGTTGATTATCACTTGTCCACTTTAATACCTTAAGACAATAACGAAAGAAAGCATTATTATTACGTTTCACCTCTAAATGTTTACTGTCATTGAGTCTTTGGACTTTGCGCAAGAGATTTGTACAAATTTCTATATCTTTAGGTCGTTTAAGAGTTTTCATTAAGGCCTCGGCAATGCGTAAATAATTTTCAAATTGTTCGGATAAAATTTCATGTTCATTAAAGGTAATCGTAGGAGTACGAGGAGATTCAATTGTTGCAACATCTGGTTGTTTTTCAGCTTCTTCCTCAATTTTGGTAGTTTCATCGGTGGAATGAAAAGATTCTTCGTGTTCTTCCGCCATTTACTCGAAATTTTTTTTAAATTAGGAGGAATTATAAAAATATAACTAATAAAAAAACTTTTTTAAAGCAGAAAAATAAATGTCAATATCGTATAACACAGTGGGTAGATAGACAGATAGATAGATAGATAGATAGATAGATAGATAGATAGATAGATAGATAGATAGATAGATAGATAGATAGATAGATAGATAGATATAGATAGATAGATAGATAGATAGATAGATAGATAGATAGATAGATAGATAGATAGATAGATAGATAGATAGATAGATAGATAGATAGATAGATAGATAGATAGATAGATAGATAGATAGATAGATAGATAGATAGATAGATAGATAGAATAGATAGATAGATAGATAGATAGATAGATAGATAGATAGATAGATAGATAGATAGATAGATAGATAGATAGATAGATAGATAGATAGATAGATAGATAGATAGATAGATAGATAGATAGATAGATAGATAGATAGATAGATAGATAGATAGATAGATAGATAGATAGATAGATAGATAGATAGATAGATAGATAGATAGATAGATAGATAGATAGATAGATAGATAGATAGATAGATAGATAGATAGATAGATAGATAGATAGATAGATAGATAGATAGATAGATAGATAGATAGATAGATAGATAGATAGATAGATAGATATATAGATAGATAGATAGATAGATAGATAGATAGATAGATAGATAGATAGATAGATAGATAGATAGATAGATAGATAGATAGATAGATAGATAGATAGATAGATAGATAGATAGATAGATAGATAGATAGATAGATAGATAGATAGATAGATAGATAGATAGATAGATAGATAGATAGATAGATAGATAGATAGATAGATAGATAGATAGATAGATAGATAGATAGATAGATAGATAGATAGATAGATAGATAGATAGATAGATAGATAGATAGACAGATAGATAGATAGATAGATAGATAGATAGATAGATAGATAGATAGATAGATAGATAGATAGATAGATAGATAGATAGATAGATAGATAGATAGATAGATAGATAGATAGATAGATAGATAGATATATAGATAGATAGATAGATAGATAGATAGATAGATAGATAGATAGATAGATAGATAGATAGATAGATAGATAGATAGATAGATAGATAGATAGATAGATAGATAGATAGATAGATAGATAGATAGATAGATAGATAGATAGATAGATAGATAGATAGATAGATAGATAGATAGATAGATAGATAGATAGATAGATAGATAGATAGATAGATAGATAGATAGATATAAAGATAGATAAATTTCCTCGGAGGTGTTTGATGTCATAATAGGTTGTTGTCTTGAATAACAAACTAGTTACCGGATTTGATTGAAAAACGATCTTCTTGAATAGTTTTAATCAAGTACCTTCTCCAAAGGATTTTTTACCATTTATCTTTCCTTTCCACAGAAATAAAAATCTTTAAAATATATTTATCACATTTAATACTAATTTATTTTTTTTTATTTTATATTTATTGTTTTTTTTTCAACTTTCAATTTTACATAAATTTTTTTAACATTTTTATTTATTTTTTTTTTTAGCAAACATGCATTTTTTATAGATATTATAATAGATTTCTGTTTTACCTTTAATAATTTTATATTATTGACTAAAAATCATGTTAACATTCATATTATTATTTTGTTTATAAATTATTAACTTTAATAATTTGTTCATCTTTAATATTACGAGTACTTTTTTGTTATTTATTACTTTTAATTAACCTTTCTCTAACAAAAAAACTTAAATAAAAATTATTTATTTTTTTAAATTTTTCAGAAAGAAACTGAAACTATATTTATCTTTAATAAGAAAAAAAAAAAAACGTTGATAAAAAATGTGTGTGAAATGTTGAACGTGATAATAAATGTTGTGTATAGTATAAGAAAATTGTGCCATTTTATGATATGATGATCTTTTTTTTAAAGAGTATTTTGTAATTTAGTAAAAAATTAGTATATTTTATATAAATTTAGATCTGATCTATACTTTAAAAGAAAGTATGAGCTTTTTGATCGTTTGTATCGACTAGCTAAATCAATTATAGAAATTAAAATATGTTGCCTATTTTTAGGCTGGTTATTATTGGTATTCATTATGCCATTACTAAACCTTAGTACGAACTGATTTTAAAAATAGTAAAATAAATACTGTTATTCTCTTAGAGTCAAAAAATGTTGCCTTTAGTCAGATCCTCTTTTACAAATTCATATCTTTCTACTTTAATGTTTATGAAATTGACACCTGATGAAAGATATTACGGCAAAGAGGACAGGAAAAGTAATTTTATTATTTGCCCCATTTTCCGCTCTATATATTTAGTTTAAACTTAAGAACTTTACTTTATAAAACGTTTTTAGATCTAGTGATTTATAAAATAAAATCCTTAAATTTTATTGTATAATAAAAATAATTTTTAATTGATTTAATCATTAAGCTTAACGAAGTAAAAATGATTGCTCTAAAAAGCATTTAGTAATTATTTAGCAAATTATGTCAAAAGTTTTAGTATATGTCTCAAGTTGTGATGGATCTGTTTTCAATAGGAAAATAATAATAATAATACATAATGATGTTGTTAATTATTATGTCTGCATGTTTGTAAAATGCTTATATATTACCTGGGATTTTATATGATTTTAACAATTGTTTATAAAGAAGATTTGTCTCAAAACGTATTACAATTAGGCCTAAGGCTTTATACTATAGACTGATCTTAAGTCAAGACTATACCATAACTGATCAATATATAATAATATATTAGGATCTGTATCCAAAAATATAGAATGATATGTAGTCCAGACTATAGATTGAGCTATAATCCAGACTCTAGATTGAGCTACAGTCCAGACTCTAGATTGAGCTACAGTCCAGACTATAGATTGATCTATAGTCGAGATCATAGTGTGATCTATAGTAAAGTAAGTGGACTGATAAACCTATAGTCAAGACTATACACAGATATATAAATACTATATCATGATTTATAATCAAGACTATATGATTACCAATAGGCTGGATAGAATGATGTATAATCTAAACTATAGAGTGACCTATAGTCTAGACTATAGAATGATTTATAATCTTCACTATAGAATGATCTATAGTCTGATCTATAGTTCAGACTTTTGACCAGACTACAGACTTTTCTATATTCCAGACTGTAGAATGATCCCGGAATTGACTGATCTATAATTCAGACTACAATCAAGACGTTCTAAAGTCAAGATTTTAAACTGATATCTAGTCAATACTTTAAACTTATCTATCGACAATAGACTGAACTACAGTCAAGACTATAGACTGATCTATAGTTTAGACTATTGACTGATGTTAAGTCCAGGCTGTAGACTGATCCCGAAATAGATTGATATATAATTCAGATTATAACCAACGATCTATAGTCTAGACTTTAAACATATCCATATATCTTTAAACATATCTATAGTTAAGACTCTAGACTAATCTCTAGTTCATAATATTGACTGATCTTTAGTCCAGACTATCCAGACTAGAATCAAGACGATCTATATTCAAGACTTGACTGATCTTAACTTATCAATAGTTAAGACTATAGAGTGTTCTATAGTCTGCTCTATTGTTCAGACTATTGACTGATCTTTAGTCCAGATTGTAGATTGATCTGAACTCCTGATTATAATCCAGATTATAAACTGATCTTTAATTAATACTACAGAATAATTTATAAACAGTCTTGACTATAGGACTGATCTTCAAGTATGTTCATAAGAAGTTATAGTTTTGCACTATAATTTCTTATGAAGGGTGATCAAGGACGTTTGTTGTTGCAAAGGAGGCAAAGATAAAGTGGTTTTAAAGGTAATGTAAACAAAAATTATGACTTAAAGTCACAGTTAAAACAAGTAAAAATAACAAAATAATCACTCACCTACACAACACTTGTTCCCTTTCCGCTTACTATTTCATTTTCTTTTTTGCATTATTTTATTTCTCTTTTTATTTATTAACTTTTTTATCTTTTCTTTAACTTTTTTTATTATATTTTCCTTTACTTATTATTTAATTAAAATTTTCACATCTTTTTTCTCTCCTTTTACTTAAACCTTTTCATTTACTATCACAACTTTTTATTTTCTTTTTTTTTGGCTTTTAACACTTTCTTTTCCTCTTTATTTGCATTTTTGCTCCTTTTACTTAACCTTTTCATTTATTTTTATAACTTTTTTATTTTCTTTTTTTTTAGCTTTTTACATTTATATTTACACTTTATTTTATTCTTTATTTACATATTTTCTCTATATTTCCTTCTCTTCTTCATTTACTTCTTCGCTATTCCTTTCCACTGCTCCTCACACACCCCTCCCACCCAACACTTCTTTTTGCATGGAATAACCAAACTAAAGCAACACAAAAACCTGTTCTATTAAAATTTTTTCAGCAAACTTCCCACGCTATTTTCGGCAATTTCCTTAATAGTTTTTAACAAAATTTTTGAACAAACATATTAACCCACATTTAAATTACACATTTATGTAAAAATATTAACAATTTATTAACTTTTACCGCAATTATTCTTATTAATTATAGAGAAACTAATCACCGAACAACCGAACACTTGAGATATTTTAAGAAAACTAAAACAATTTTGATAGATTGCTATTGTTGTTGTTGCTGTTTTTACTACTCAATTGCAGTTAATCTCTTTACGCACTACTATTTTGTCACTCTCAAATTTTGACATCAAACAACAACAACAACTACTACTACTCTTCAAAAACAATAACAACAGCAAGCAATTACTTGCATTTTTCTTTTAGTTTTGCAGAAATTCCTTAAGTGTTCGGATGTTTGGTGATTAGTGCGTATTAAATAATTAAATTACTTGTTTAAAAGTTAATAAATTGTTAATATTTTTACATAAATATGTAATTTAAATGTTATTTAATATTTGTGTGTAAAAATATTGCTAAAAACTAACAAGGAAATAAGTTAAAATAGTGTTAGAAAAAATGCAAATTAAAGCCGGTCACTTAGTTTGCTTTAGTTTGGTT